TGAACATTGACCATAGCACCTTCTTGAGAGATAACAGTACCTCTGATCCATCTTTCCTTCTTCCATGCCTTTGAAGCAATAGCATTAGCATTGACAGGGGAACTCCAAACGAAAACCTTGTCACCTGGTTTGTAAGGTCCATCTGATGGCATTGTTCGTTTGGCCATGTCATGTCTGAGGTCAGCAGCTTGTCTGGCTTCCTGGTGTGCCCTCAGTGCTAACCTTTGCAACTCGAGTTGTGTTTTGTCTTCAGGTAAAGGATCAACACTAAGTTGAGCAGGATCAGAAGTCTCAATGTCCAGAAGATCTGGTGGTCTTCTACCAGTGGCAATTTCCAAAGGAGAATAACCACTAACAGTGAGTTGAGTGTTTCTGGCCCAAACAGTACGCTTCACAGCTTCTCTGATAGTAATTCCTCTGAACCTATCATCTTCAAGGTTCTTGGACATGATTTGCCATTGTCTTTTGAAAAGTCTGACAGCTGATTCAGCTCTGTTAGGCCATGGGGTTCTTGAACCACAGGGACATTCCTTGATACCATGAGTTCGGTAATAAGTCAGAAAGTCTTCTTGAAAGAATGCTTCATCACCTACGATGGCTCTCGGCATACAGTTATGTTCATCAGTCCACAACCTTAGAGCCTGAATGGTCTCCTTGTTGTTCAGTGAGTTTTGTGCCGTAGCCCAAAGTAAGTTGGTTGCACCATCAAGAACAAGCAACACCATGTACTTGCTCTTCCTCAACTGAATTTCAGCATGATCAACAAAGATAACATCTCCAAAGTTGGTGGATCGTATGCCTGAAATTCTGGCTCGCGGCGGTGGTGCAATGGAAGTACTACACACACGACATTTGTTGTACATCTCCTCATACTTCTGATAAACAGAGTCAGGAAGTCCTAACATGGAAGTCCTTCGTCTGAATTGAGTAGGAGACATGTGATAGTGTTTTTAACATGAAGCTTGTAAAGTTCCACACTATCCTCCAGTTTCCTGAGCATCTTTCTGTATGCTGGTGTCATGGCTTGCACTTCACTACCAGGCAGTGGAATCGAAACTCGCCTAGGCTCAAGAGCATCACTACCTAGTTTCTCAACTTGACTTTCTGAATCTTGCTTACCACGGTTGCGCGCAGGTGCAGAATGTTTTGGTTCAATGACTTGAGGTTCATCTGAATTAACTTTGTCCAGACCTAACTCCCTAGCTCTTATGTCCAGTTCATCTTCCTCATCAAGCTTGGGATAGGAGACAACAACCTTCTTTCTTGATGAACCTGATTGAGAGTCATCGACAACTTGAGGTTTCTGCTTACCTACGTGTCTCTTGGCTGCAGGTGGACCTACCTCAATCTTTTTCGAGCTTGGTCCTTTCGAAATCGGTTTGCCTTCCTCCTTCTTTAAGGAGCTTGGCTTCTTCTTCTGTACACCTGATGGCACTGAAGAGGCTGACTCAGGGTGAAAAAGATCATCAATGTTTCCACGAAAGGGCTTTGCACGATCAATGTCACTTCTGACAATGTCATCTGGGATCACGTAGTCCTCCTTGATCTTGTAGATGGTCTTGCCCTTCCAGAACTCTTCACTCTGTTCAGAAAACCTCTTCTTCTCAGTGCGCCAGTTGTCCTTGTGAAGAACCTTCTTCTTGCTCTTCTGGAATTCCATGTGGGTTTCTCTCTCATCAAGAAGTTGATCTTTGGAATTGGAGTTTTCTCTGATCGAGTCATCTCATGTAAGTTCATTCTCTTGTCCTTGTGGTGCCTGATGAGTTCACGACGTAGTGGATCAACCTGCCAGTAGTCACCAGTCACCAAAGCTTCTCCTTCATGATCATCTTGTTTGACAGCAATCTGACTGTACTCAAAGTGATCGTGTTGTGAATAGAAACTTTTGACTTGTGGAGTCTTGAAATGAACTTGGCTCATGTACCATGCTACATCTTGTAGGTCGAGAATGAGATGAGTACTGATGGCTGTCCTCAAAACCATTTTTCTCATGCCAATACGTGCACAGGACAAATAAGCCTTCTCTGGAGTAAGTTCAAATTGAAATCCAAGGTTTCTCATCTGTGGAAGTGACATCAACAATGGGACATCACCTTCTTCGACAATGTCGAATTCTGTAAACTGAGTGTTCCATCCATGATCATACATGAATATCACGAGCTTCTCAGTACATTTGGATTGTTGTGAATTTGCAAAGAAGAATCTTGAACTTGTTGGCTGAATTTCATACCAGAGTCCACTGTCGGGATGTGAGTCAACATATCTGCAAAATGCTTCAACTGCTCGTCGAGAGCCCATAGCTCTTGTGCATCCAAGATCCAGAATACACACAGTTGGTGGTGCAGAATTCTCTGTGTGAAAAGCTAGTCCATTCTCACATGCCAGATCAGTTTGTACAGTATGAAATGAAAAAGCACTCTGCTGTGATGGTTCCTCTATCTCTGTAGAGCATCCATATGAAAACAATGATGTGCCTTCTGCCAATGGCCTCAATGAGGCCTCACCTTCTTGAAGACCAACTTGCCTGGGCACACGAGTTGGACGTCGACGTACACCTTGTCGAAGGGCATCAACTTCTCCAACCAGAACCGGGAATCTTTTCATTTCCCTTATGTTTTGCTGTGCTCTTGCATCACGTTGGTTCTGTCCTCCACGACGAGTGCGTCGTTGTTCATCTTGTGCTGCATACGTGGATGTCAAAACATCAACACGTGCTGGCTCTGTCTCTGCAACATCAACACGTAATGGGTCAGTTCTTCCAAACGCAAAGAAACCATGACCAGAACTTGAAGCTGCAGAAGAATAGTGAGCTTGTTGAGTTTGTTGATTCTGTATGGCAGGAGTTGATGTGGTCTGAGGTTGCACATAGTTTGACTTGCCTTTTCCATCTCCTGGCTTTCCTCCTTTGCCATCATCATCCTTGCCTTTCTTGCCTTTCTTTCCTTTTCCTTTTCCTTTTCCTTTCCTCTGGAAGTATCCATACTCATCCATGTAGTATGAATCATCATAGGCCCAATAGCCTTCATTCCAGGTTTGATCATCGGCCCAATAGCCGTCATAGTTTTCATTCCATTCATCATCTTGCCATTCATCTTCATAATCTTCTTCACTCACCATGTGAGCACGGCCTTTTCTTCTTCCTTTTCCTCGGCCTTTTCCTTTTCTTGATTTGAAGAACCTTCGTCCTCCTCTGCCTTTTCCTTTTCCTTTTCTCTTTCCTTTACCTTTGCCTCGTCTGATGTATTTGCCTTGGAACCTTCTCTGATACCATGTGAAGTTGGCGTCATCATAAACACAGAAAACATCTTCTAAAGCATCCAGGAATCCTTCTGCGCCGTCTTCTTCATCTTCGGCCCAATAGCCGTCGGTTCCTTCTAATTCACCTTCATCCAGTACGAGGAAAGATCTTCTCTGTGCCATGCCAGAGGGTTGCATCAATGGATTGTCAACTGCTGTTTTGGTAGTGCAAAACATTTCCAAAAACAGGTCACGTAGTTCTTGAATGTTGTATTGATCGAGGGTTCGTCCACGATGTGTCATGATACTTGTGAGTGTGTTTCTCTGATCTTGACTCAGGTCAGCTAGACTTACAAAAATCAATGCTAGCAGATTTTCACCCAGTGGGAATGCTTGTCGCTGTACTTGTCTACGATCTTCCTGAAATTGTCTAAATGCCGCTAATGCCAGTTCATCTGACCAAGGAACAACTACATGAGGAGCTGCTCCTGAGGCTGCTGCTACTTCAGCTCGTTCTTGTTGATCTCGATCATGTTCTTGACGTCGTTGCTGAACAAACAGGATTGCTTCAGGACTAGTCACTGTTACTTCTGGAAGTAAATCCATCCAAGACTCAATAAGTCTATTGCCAGTGAGTTGAAATCTAGTCATCCACTTCTGAAGATCCATGGTTCCTCTGTTGAACTTCATGAACTGCATGAAACGGTATAAGAACACGTTCTGGGCACCTTTGATGAAATGAGGTCGTAGAAATCTTTTGAAATAAGCTACTCCTTCATAGGGATCCCTGAGTAATTCTCTATCCAATAGCCTCTTGTATTGTTGAGCATCTCCTTCCAGTCTATTGCGCAATGCTGGACCACGTTTCTCTGGTTCTAACTCCGTAATGTCACACCAGTCATCAATTGCATCCTCAAAAGCAAAGAGGCTGGTTCGCCCATCATAGGCTGGAGCAACCTTTGTGGTCATCTGTTGCGTCATATGAATCTGTGTATGCTGGGGTGCTCTTCTCATTGCATAAGAGTCATATTGGTTCCATTCATTTGCATCGACAATGTCGAAGTCATCATCATGATAGCCATGGCGTGCCATTGCTTGGGCTCTGCCTGGAGCTCACCCTCAATGAGGGATCACAGCTCCGCTACCACTTGAAGAGGGGCCCTAGCGTCTACTTCAAGATCAGCTAAGGCGTCTTCCCCAATGACAGCACTTGTTTTACTCAGCCTGTTGCCGGTCCGTGCTTGTCTACAGGGTTACTCTATATACCTCTTGAGCCTTGAAGGGCGCATATAAATGTGCTCAATACTCATGCATGTACCTATGTAGGTATTAGATCGAAACAAAAACAAGGGCGCAGCGCCTCCCCCCAAAGCAGAATGCAAGCACCTCTTCTCACATGTTACGTTGCTAGTTTTCAAGAGAAGGTTGGTCATGTGATACTCAGGGATGTAAATACTGTGCAAAATGCATCTTACATGAAAATCAAGTATTTAAAGCAGGCAAAGCAAAAAAAAAACAGAGAAGCAAAAAAGCAGAGAAGCAAAGAAACAGGAAACGCACAAAAGCAAAGCAGCAGAAAGGCAAAGAAGCAGGAAAAGCAGAAAAGCAGAGAAGCAGGAAAAGCAGGAAAAGCAGAGAAGCAGGAATCCAAAAATAATTCCTAAACCTGATCAAAAAAAATATCCTAAAATAATTAGCCCTCCAATCAGAAATGTGGATGTCTCATGTCACGTCGTGACGTCGTAGATTCACCAGCTTGGCTCAGCTCCCCTTCTGCCACAGCGACTTCATCGGCTCATATCTGGAGTCTGAAATCCTCAAGGCCTTGGCCAAGTGTCCGGCAGATCAGGTCGGGGCCGATGGAACGGATGTGGCTGATAGGGCTAAGAAATCAACAAAGGAAAGGGAGAGATGAAGTTGGGATGCATCTGTGGAGTTCATTTTCATGATTCAGCTGTTTTTGGATTTTGGGGCCTTGAGTTTGGTATGGGTTGACCCATCTCCATGTCGCAACATGTCTCAACTGCACAGGTGGAAGTGGTCTACAAAGGCTTCCAACCAAAGTATGACTCCTTTAGCGCCATGCACCATGCAACAAGTGGATGCCTCTCGACTTACAGGATGGATGATGTGGTTGTGATGGTTTCATCCTTGAATTCTTCAGGTTGGTGGGGTTGCCTTGTCTAGCCTCATTGCATATTTCCATCCCAGCAAATTGGATGATGATACCCGCAACAATGCAACAATTAAGGTATTTTAGTATTCCTGAGGTTGGAAACACCAACCAGTTTGAATTCACGCCTCTGAATTCCTCCGTGCCAGCTGACATCTATGAGCAGAACAGCACCGGGGGCTTCGCGCTCGAAGAAGAAAGACGCGCTGGCTGCCACGGTCAGTGGGACACGAATCAGAAGTGCAGCTTGGTAGCAACTCGAGGCGTTTTTGGGCTAGGCCGGCCATGGGGCATGTAGAGGCCCTAAAGCCCTAAATGGCCAACAATTTCGTTGATTTCTAGCATTGGGCCATCCAATTCGCTGGATGATTTTGATCTAATCACACTTTTTGCTCGAGCATTGGTGAAGACATCACATGAAGATATATGAAAACATATGACACCAATCAGTCAGCACATGGGACTTGGCATTGGCACACCATTGGTCCGGTTCTTGAAATCGCTGGGGGGCCTCTTGATTCTATGGATCGAAATATCAAACTCGGACTATCCATGCCACTATATGCCACTCACACAGTAGGGAAATCATCTATATACAAGGATTGAACTTGAAGTATAGCGAGCCTGCGATTAGCTACCCAGATTTCTACATAGACATCCATTTGCACTTGAATGTATCATCCGTGTGCCGCGCCTGTGGAGCCCATGGATGAATTTTTTTGAGCATGGCAAGGAGGAAGGTTCACCAAGTGGAGACCATGGCTTGGATCAAAGGTATCACAGCCATTTTATTTGCATGTTGTTTATATCTGTCTTACTACTTGGCCTGGCGTTTGCCACCTAGAATTCCCGTTGATGATTTGAACCGGGCCCCAGTTGGTACAAATGATTTAGAAAGGGCATCTTTTACCTTGGAAAAAAGTGGGCATTTCGAGCTTAGACCCGGAGCCGCGCCGGCTTTGGGCAACCTTTCCTTCCAGGGCCACCAGTTGCAGAGCAGCATCCTGGAACTGGAACTGTTGGCCGTGGAGTCCAGGAGTCAATTTCGTCCATGTCAGGTAGTAAGAGCCTCGACGCAAGAAAGTTGGCTGCTGGATTGCAGCGGCGTTTTGGCAGATGTGCATCCCGTGCAGTATCATATGACTGATGGTTTTGCGGTGCGTTGGCACGTGATTTTCCAGAGCCCGGTGACGAAACTTCGGATTTCCACATGGCTTCCGAGTGCCGCCGTGGAAGGCCACGTGGATGGTTCGCCTGTGGTGGCTCGCCAGCGGCCACACATCTCCCGATTGCCCGCCAGCTGTAGCGCAAGCAGTTCCTTTCCAGGCCGAGGGGCGGAGCGGCTGTTGGACGATGACAGCGAAACCGAATGGTTCGCGGCCAAGGGGGAAAGCAGCGCATGGATCCTGGTGGATTTGGAAGGGGACCGTGTTATCACTTCAGTTTCCTGGACCTGGTGGGCCAAATCTATGGCCGATGAGTGGGCCCTGGAGAGCCGGGGGGATGGTGAAGAGGCCTGGACCCACAGAAGTAGCCACCAGGACATCCGCGCCGCAGGGGAGTTCAATGCAGCTGTTTCGGTGGAGGGATGGAAGGCACCCAGCAGATGGATACGACTGAGCATGGCCAAAGGGCATTTGGATCCTTGGAATTTTGGAGTTTTTTTTGGTCTGCGATCTTTCACGGTTTTGGGAAGGGATGATGCTGCGACAGCCGGCACCAGGGCAGCATGGAAACTTCAGCCGAGGGATGTTACCCCTCCTGGTCTCTGGCTGGCCCTGGAGCATCCACGTAGCCACTGCCACGTGGATCAGAAGCGCACCAAACCTGCGGCAAAGGATCAAGTCTGGCGCTGGGTCAGTTGCATCCTACGACTCTCAGAGAAACCAATGGGAAGGCCTCACATCTTTGCCTCTTTGGGTGTCTTTGAAGATGGGCCACAGTCCCAAATGCGCCGCAGCTTTTTGCAGTACTTACAGCTTGCACGCGGCAGGCCTTTTGGGCAGGTGCTGCATTATAACAGCTGGTATGACTTGCGCAACCCCAGCTGCAGTGATGCGAAATGTTTCTCACACGCCATGACGGAAAGGAGCATCCTTGAAAGACTTGAAGCCTTCAATGGGAACTTGACTCGTTGGGGTGGCCATGCTTTGGACGCCTTCTTGCTTGATGATGGTTGGGACAATGCCGACAGCCTCTGGGACATTGACACGAAACATTTTCCCTCCGGCTTTGGACCCCTGGTGGCTGCAGCCAAGCACTGGGGCACCCGGATGGGCGTTTGGATGTCGCCCTTTGGGGGCTATGGTGCAGCTGGTGGGCGTAGGATTCACTTCGGTGCCTCCCATGGCTTTGAGCGGAGCCCCAGAGGAGGCTTCGCCTTGGCCGGAAGGAAGTACTTCCAGAGCTTCTGCTCGGCGGCTTGGAGTTGAAATGATTTGTCTATGTTACCTTGTTTATCTCCCTCTGTCTATTGAGCACATCAAAAAACATGATATATATACATCACATTATACACTTATTACTGTATATGTATATATATATATTATACTATATTAAATTATATTATATTAAATTGAATGATATTTTATTGCATATTTTATTCTATTTTAATATATTATATGGCATTATATTCTTTAACACTATTATATTGTTGTATTATCTTATATTGTATTATATTGTACTAAGTTAAATTATATTATACTATATCATATTATATTATATTATTATATTGTATTATTATATTATATTAAATTATATTAAACTATATTATATTATATCAGATTATGTTACATTATATTATAATATATTATATTATATTACAATATATTATGTTATATTATATTATATTATATTATATAAGATTTTTTCATTATATCATATCATATTATATTATATATATATATTTATTTTATATTATAAATTCTATTATATTATATTATATAATGATATATTATGTTATATTATCTTATCTTATGTTATATTATCTTATCTTATATTGTATTATATCATATCATATTATATTATATTATATTGTATTGTATTATATTGTATTATATTATATTATAAGGTTTTATTATATTATACTCACACACGCATATATATATATATAATATGTGCATGTACTATATGTAAAACTATTGCATGTGTGTCTGTTTATGTGTGTGTGTGTGATATGCATTCATATATGCGTTCATGCACAAATATGCTGTTTCCAGTCATTGCGGAAAACTCCTCTGGGATTATGAGTGATTTCAGATGATTTAGGGGGATTCTTTCCATGGAAACGTTTGTGTTTATATAGAAGACGTGTTATATGTGTACCTCAGGAGGCTCAAAGGATCGAACAAATCGATACGTCATAGACCTACTTTATTGTGTCATTGATTTTTTTGGGGACGCAGCTTTTCCGCGCACTTTCAGGTGGTGAAGCAGCGTATCTCTGAAGGCTTTGGGCTATTCAAATTCGATGGCCTTGGTGGTGGGCTGGGACAAAGTGGTGGCGAAGAGCACCTGGAGGATTTTGAGGCCATGCTGCACCTGATTGAGGAGTTGCGGCAAGATGATGACCAGGTGGGTTTTCCCTTGGGAGTGGCAGACATGGGTTGATGATGGTGAATGGTGGGCCTTGGGTAAACCCATACAGATGTATATATATATACACACATCATTACACATAGATATACTCAATGACTCAATGTATCACGCGCACGCACGCAAGCATGATTATACACATAGTTCTATTGCTCAGTGCTCAGGTTTGGATCAGTTTGACCATCGGCACCTGGCCCTCGCCCTTCTGGTTGCTATGGGGCGATTCCATTTGGCGCGATGGGCCTGATGTGGGCGATGAGGGCGTAGGCTCCGCGCGGGACCGGTGGCTCAGCTTCCGCGACAATGCCCTGAGGCGGGCGCAGAGCCGTGGCCCACTGTTCCCACTGACGGCCTTCATGCAGCATGGAGTGGTGTGGAGCAAAACAGCTGAGACGATTTCCATGTGGTCAAAACCCAAAGGGCCCAAAGCCACTTTGCAAGACTTTTGTAATGAGGTGCTTTCCTTCTTTTTGGCAGGGACTGGGCTGCAGGAGCTCTATATTCAAATGGAACTGATGAATGATGAGAAATGGAAGGCGTTGGCAGCCGCATCCCACCTGGCCCGCCAAGAGATCAAACTACTGCCGGATGCGCGGCTGATCGCTTTTGGCCACCTCTATGGAGCAGCAGCACTGGAGATGACAGAGGGTCGAGCCATTTTTTGGCTGCGGAATCCGGAGGAAACCACTCAAGAAGCGACCTTCAGCATCAGTGAGCTGCTGGAACTGCCTGTAGCTTGGCAGAAGAGTCACTGGTCCATGATGCCTCTACAGTTGGAAGGCTGTCCTGCAGCTCCGCAAACAGAAAAGTCCGAGGTCTCTTCCTCCGAGTTGGTATCAATCCTGCAGCCAGCTTTGGCTGTTCAAGCCTGGACTGTTTTGAGGAAGGATCCACTGACGCACAGTCAGCCTGAGTGACCCTGAGGGTTTTCAGCGTTTCAAAAAAGGTGTGTGTGATTTGTGGGTGTAGGAATAGTTTCGCATATAGCTTGGTTACATATGCCTTGAAGAGGCCAGCTAAACGTATCAAAATGTGCTGGGGAATGTGTAGGAGATTTGAATGCCTGTTGCTTTGACTCAGGTTATCCGACGCTGGAACAAATGAAAAACACAGGCGAGTTCTGCGAATGGAGTTACAATCTGTTTCATGATTCAGGAAGCTGCTCATTTTGGTGCTAAAGTTTATACGCCTTTATTTTGGTTTGAAACTTATATAAGCATTCTGTTTTGTCAAATCTTGTTGATTAAACTTGAATCCATATCAGTCCCTTGTTGGTTCATCATGGTTCATCCACTTTGGAGACGTCCACTCTTTTATGACCCTGGTGGCATAAGATAGTCCACCGGTCACCAGGCCTTCTCCGAAATTTCTCTTCGATTTTGGCATCTCGGGGTATCAAGAAGATCCATGGCAGCAGCTGGACACTGGCTTGAGGGGTGGCGAGAAAAAAGGCAATTACAACATGAGAATCTCCACTATTTTGATGCTGAGGCCCCCCTAGACCCACAGATGAAGATCCGTGTTGATGGGCAAAGTTGGCAATTATGAAAGATATCTGATGCCAGTTAAGTGGATCAAGTGGATTGAACACCAAAATCGAAGGTTGCCGATGGATCAATGTCCTGGACTTGTTGATGGGTGACGGTTGTGATGTTCCCAAGGATGGTCACCGTGGGCCTGGTGTATGACTATTGCGTGAAGGAGTCGTGGGATGTCGGGGCTGTTTTTGTTGTGGGCAGAATTTCGTTTTTCTCCCAGGGGCTAGAATTCCGGCGCGGGTGGCAAGGACCTGTGGCATACAGGAGATTACAAGAGCACAAAAACATAGGTCAAATAGATTCCACTGCCAGCTCTGCAAACCAGTGGGGATATGTGGATTATGTGGGGATTACCCTCTGGTAATTTAACATAGCTATGGAAAATCACCATTTTTAATGGGAAAATCCACTATAAATAGCCATTTTCAATAGCAAACTGTTAGTTTACCAGAGGGTACCTATTGCCAGATTTTTCGCTTCGCCAAGTGCGCCAGCACAGATTTCCCCGAAAATTTGTCATTCCCGGGCAGGAGACAGCTATCTTCACCCGTGAGAACCACCCTGAGATGCAAGTCGTAGTCTTGGGCCATCTTACTCGACCCAGCTTTGATGGGAAGCCGGGGGTTCCTGGCCTTGGAGTAGTGTCAGTCAGGAGTGGAAATTGGGAAGTTGGGAAGTTGGGAAGTTGGGAGAAAGAATTCCATGAACACTCCCCAATGAACTGTTCCCATATGGTTATTTTTTTGCCATGGACATTGGTGGCAGTACTAAGTTACTAAGCAACGTTTAGCTTCAGTCTGATTTTTGCGGAGTTTTCATCAGCTGGACGCATTATGCGCTGCTTGTCCGGCCGTGCCCCCACTCTTCAAGGGTTTACTGCACTACATCCATGCATGCCCAAATGCTCCATGTATGGAATATTTACCTACATTTACACCAAAAATATAGCCCAAATGTAGGTAAATATTCCATACATGGAGCATTTGGGATGTATTATTTGCACAGAGTACCTTCCGCCTTCCAACACCTGATGATCATCTGCCATTTAGCCGATGATCAAAGGGGACTTGGATGACAACCTCTGACCGGCGTCACCGGAAATTTGAGGCGCCCTACACTGGCTTTCTTTGTGATGGTCGTGATCTGGGTCATGGCTTCTGTTCTGAAGGAGGTGGCACCAAAGCCGCGTTTCTTGGCTCCATCAGAGGTGGTTTGGTTTATGTTGAAGTTGTTGTAGTTAATGAGCTCTTTGGTGCTCTTCGGTGTGCTGGTTTCTATTGGTTTCTCAAGCAGCATTGCTTCGTGTTTGTGTATGATGTGTGCTGGGCTGCTTTGACCATTTTGGGGTCCTTGTTGACTTGTCTTGGAGGCACGAGAAAGTGCTGAAGGACTACAAGTCCAACGGGGTGGCCGTCATGAGGCTCCAAAATGAGCCGCTGTCGGCCGAAGTCTATGGCCTGTTTGGGGGCGTCTTTGTTGGAAGCAGTTGATCCAGCAAAAAATGCCATAAGCCTCCAAAGCTGCGCCCATGGTGCATAGACCAAGCACCAACGGTTCCATGATGTTCGAAAAAACCATGCCGCAGATGTTGCCCTTTCCTCCCTGGAGCCTGTAGTCCCACGATTTCTCGAAGTTTGTTGGTACGCTTGGCGGACTTGTAATTGCCCAAACAACTGTGGGCGTGGTATCTGTATGACGCCCATTGCATGGTTCCTTCAGGCTTATGGTTGAATGTTGTTCTGCCCCGCGTTTCTCCTTCAAGATACTTTTTTTTTGATGTTGGGATTGTTGTGGCAAAAATCTAGTTGCGATATGTTGTGATGACTGCCAAACAAATAGTATCACTTCCAGCCGTCATGATCGTGGATGTAGGAATTGTGCGAACGTTCTAGTTCTCAGGCTTGTGCTGCTCACCTCAGAATGCGAAGACGAAACAACTTGACAAACACACAAGAACAGCCTCGCAGCATCTCGCAGCTATCCAAATAAATAAATAAATCAACAAATAAATAAGTAATTTATTATAATTATATATATGTGTGTGTGTGTGGGCGCTACTGGCGACAGTTTTGATTATCAATGCATCTTTGGGGATTACATCCAGTTGTCAATAGCCATCAAGCCAACATGAGAACCAGGAAGAACCTGATTCAACCAGGGAAACGTGTCCACCTGCCATAATAAAAATCCACTGCCAATTTCTCATATATAGCGAGGGACTGCCATGTCCCGCATCTAGCCCGTGCTATGCTCCCCGAAGGATTGCCACGCCACTCTGCCCCCGCCGGCAACGGCTTCCGTGAGTCGTTGTCTTCATATCCCGCATTTCGTCCCCGGCAATCTTTGCCGGATCGAAGTGAGTATGTGAAACTACGCTCAGGTGTGTCATCTGTTCTGGTGGCCCCCAGGCTCAGCAGCGAGGCTGGGGTTGTTGAAGCGAATGTCCAGGAATGGCCTGCCACTGCAGCTTTGATCATTGCTGAAGTGATCGGAAGTGGGGTGCTGGCGCTTGGAGGTCAAATGGCAGTGGTGGGCCTCGTGCCTCTCATGGAAATCCGAAGATTTCTGATTTTTATTTTTATAGATTTGTTTGATTTTCCTGTCAGTATTTATGGTTATCAAAAAGTTTGTGAGTATTTTTAAGTGCCTCCCTTTTTTATCTCTCTTTCTTTGTCTCTGTTACGTAGTTAATACAAGACAAAGACGATTTATTTCTTTGGGACCCGGTGTTCGTTCTTCAAGTAGTCAACGATGTCAACTATTAGGCAGTTGGCTCTTTGGTCCTTGCTTTGTGCTATCCGGCAAATGTCTTCACATCTCTGCTACTGGGAAAGGTGCGCCAAGAAGTGACTTCAACTGTAACGTTTGGAGACGGCTTGACAGTTTTGTTGGGTACAACGGCTGGCCGATATGGCTATGCTGTAGCATATTCCTACCTGTTTATGTGTATGGCAAATTACTTGATCTTGATTGGAGACTCGGTCCAAGCCTCCATCTATTGGGAAGTCATTTGCTCACCCTCGGCCTGCTTCATTGGGACAATACTCTTGCTGCCGATCAACCAGTTTCGGACGCTCTCTGGCTTAACACTCCTGAGTGTGATCTCGTTCGCCACAGTCGTCGCCACATTGATTCTCTGTTTGTGGACCCTACTGACCAATCCATCATGTGAATCACCGGGACGCACGGGGCATGGATTCTTGGACTACAGCTCTTGCATCTCTGGCTTTGTCTTTGCCTTCACCGGGCAGAACATCATGCTGGAGATGCAAGCTGAAATGAAGACCCCGTCGGACTTCCCAAAAGCAGCTTCTGGCTGGTTGTTTCAGATAAGTATGCATGATTTACCCCCAAACAAACTGGATGATGATCCGCAGTTGCTTTCATACTTTTCATGGAGTAGCCCAGCCACTAATCTGAGGAGCTGAATAAAAATGATTTTTCTTACTGCAATATTCCGTTAGTTGGTTGTAGCCCCATGCTATGCCCATATATACTCATCATCAAGCAGGTTTGGCTGTCCTTTTCAACTCTCTTCACAGTTTACGCGACGGTTGCAGTACTTTCCTACCTCGCCTGCGGGGAAAACACTCCCGGTGATCTGCTACTGGTTTTGCCACACGATTGGAGGAAGTCTGCTGCAGGTGTGCTGATGGTTATTCATCTTATGGTTACCTACACCATCTCACAACAGGTTCTGAGCCGAGCGATTTGCGCGTACCTGTTGCCTGAAGCCCTACAAGACGGGATTGTAGCACGCTTCAAGTGGTTTTTCGTGACCAGTGCTATGATGGCAGCCTGCTTCTTAGTAGCGAATTTGATACCATTGTTCCAGGAGCGCAGTTGTGAAATGAACGTCTGGAAACTGAAACTCCCAACTTCCACCGGGGCGTCGTTTGGGTTAACCATTCCATAGATTCCATAGCTACCCCATGGTACCCCAAAGAATCGGATGGTTGCAAAGCATGACGAGTTTATCTGGCAGGATATCGTCAACCTCACCGGCGCCCTCCTCTCTTCGCAGGTTGTATTCATCTTGCTGGGCACTCAGGTGTGCCTGCAGTCGTCACCCTTGGGGCAATGTGGTTCTGCTGCCGCTACTGTACATGGAGAAATGGCTTACTCATGCCAGTCAACTTCTAGGCAACCCCCCAGCGCGGGGAGATACACAGATACACATAATTATACAATATATGTATATATACATACATATACACATGTACATACATATGAAATCATATATGAATATATACTTATAATATATATATAGATATTAATAACGTATAACCGTACTTGCGCTTGCCCGCGGGGTCCAGAAGAAAAGGGTGCACCTTGCCCATCCTTGCCCCCCCTTGTAGTGCTCAGGCCAAGCGTGCTTTTTCTGGCCGTGTGCCCGTATGAAGTGGCCAAGCTGGAAGGGACCCTCGCCACATGGATTGGTTGCTGGTGTGCGATCTTCGTAGGCTGGGCCATGCTGGGCCCCTGGGTGGGCCAGGTGGGGGCATCGAGCTAAACCATGGTAAACCCAGTGGAGCTTTATATTACTCATGGGATATGCCATGATATGCCCCTATTTGAATCTAATTGGGATGATGTAAAAATGGCATAAAATGACCCCAAATGCTTGGCTACTGGGATGGTTTAGTACTGGGTTTCTGATTTCTTTTTCTCTGGGGGAAAATTACCGGTGATTTAATTTGATTTAATGGTGATTTTCCTACTTGGGTTACTCTGCTTTCAAAAAATGGAATGGATTGCACCAAGGCATCTACTTGGCCTTGGTTGGCACTGTCAGCAGCGTGCTGGTGATTGCTTCCAAACTCTCTTCAGGGAGCGGCCCTTTCTCCTGCTAGCGTCCTATGAGAGAGAACAGTCCGATATGATAGCTTTATACACATCATTACATTTATAAATTCAAACAGCAAAAATCGCAATGCTAAGAATGACAATTATACTTATACTAAAGAATATATATATATAAATAAGTATAAATATAAATAAATAACTAAATAAATAAATAATATATATATATATATTATTTGATTATATGTATGTAATATATGGTACGAAATTTGAGCAATGCCGGGTTCAATGACCCAACTTGAGTGCAAGCTGGGAGATCGCTTTGGAATGCTCTGGCCCTTAAACTACGGTATCCCTAAGATTTCCAGAACTCTCTTTGACTCTGGCCAAAGGTGCCAGTGAATTCCGGCATGGGACAAAAGCTGCTCCTACCAGTAGCTCAGTAGTTCTTTCTCGAAGACAAGCCAAGGACGAGCCTAAACTTTGAAAAACCGCATGACATGCTGCCAGGATTTCCGCCCCGAGCTTCCAGCACAGCTTTCTGTCCACACTTTCCGCTCCGCGGGTCCGCGGGAAGCGCCATGTATTATGATCCAGCGGATCTTCGGGCCAAATCTTCTCCATTTCAGGTGCTCTTTGTTGCAGGGGGTCATGACCAAGAGTCGCTTGCTGCCAACAAACCTGAGACCTTCCCACTGTCTTCCTTGTACTTCTGCGATAGCTGCTCCAGAATCGTGTCCAAGAAGGACAGGGTGAGTCAATGGTGAAGCAACTGTTGACCAGAATTCATGTGGCTGAACACATGTTTTCCAAGATTTTCCAATAATGAGGGTAAAACAATGCCATAAACCATCCTCTAAATCACCATAGGTGGTATAAACCATTCCCAAATGGGTGGTTTATTATTGGTCCTTTCTATTTAAAAAAAAATCTATTTACTATTTTTATTTGTTGAAGAGGATGAAGAGGGCCCCAGCTTGGAAGCCTTTTCAGGACTTGTCGGAGGATGTGGATTCATACTACTGTCCACACTGCCTCGAAAACATGCCTTCCAGTGAGGCCATGCTCTGTGGAATGCGATGCTCAAAATGCTGGGAGTGCCCAGTTTGTTCCAGCACTTTGACACCCTGCATTGCGAACCCGAGTTCCAAGGAACAAACATATCATTTTGCTTGTAGCTACTGCAGATGGAGTTCCAAAGGTAGCTGGGCAGTGTATTCAACTTCGTGGATTCATCCCACACCTGCACGACTTTTTCCCACAGAGAATGGATATGTTTGGACATGTTTCGGTGCAGTTGTTGGTTGGTTGCTTTGCCCACTTGCACCCCCAATGGCCCGATGTTTCTTTTTTGTAGAAGGTTTGGCTTCCTAAGGTAGACAGGAAGCCGACAAACCCGAACAGCTCATCACTGAAATTGTGTCCTTAGAACGGGAGAGCCAGCCTCGACAGCGCATGATGGCCATGTTGGAAGCCTTTCGAAGCTGGGCTGTTCTTTTGGATCAAGTCAGTGATAGAAGCAGCCAAAAGCTAGTTAAAGATGTTAAAGGTTGAGCTACCGCGATTTGACCATCCAACATCGGGGATTACCAGTCAACACCAGGTGATTTCTTTTGTTTCTCCTGGTGTTTTTTCTCCTCCATGATAGCCAGTCATAGCCAGTCTTCGCTTGTTAGCCCATCCCGAGTTATCAGGCATTGTCAATCATTTCAAAGAACAAATCGTCCTCAGTAGGGTTTCAAACTGTCAATTGGGGACCCAACTCATCATGATGTTAAACACGGGCGGTTTATGATGGGTTTCATTTGTTCAAGATGACCAACCATTTAAGATGATCAACTACTTTGGGGAATGAACCATCGCCCACTTTCATAAGCCACTAGATTCTTTATAACTAATTTCATACAACCCCAAAATTCCTAAGGATGTACCATTTAAATCCATTTGACATGTATTTTAGATATATTCTTTACAAATATCACCAGGTGCAGTGCCTCAGTGCCCCCAAGGTACCAAGGCCCAGGAGCAGCAGCGGGAGAAGGAGCTGGCGCAGCGCCTGAAGCGTCGCGCCTCGGCCAGGGCCTCCTTCAGCGCCGCGTCGCTGACGGCCTTCGCCGCGCGGCGCTTCAGCGCGGCCGTGGGGCTGCGGCAACACGCGCGGCTGCCAGGGACCACGGAACTCACTGGGGAGAGCAAGAAAGGCCGGAAGTCAAGATGGCTTAGGTCGTTTTTTTGAGAGAATCTAGTCTAAATCCAGGGCAAAATTGGATTACAGTAACTTACAGTATATTTATTAAGTACTTGGACTTGTAACTAATAGTAAAATCATGTGGGTAAAACAATAATAAACCATCCCCCAAATCACCATAAATAGGTGTAAGCCATTCCCAAATGGGTGGTTGATTATTGTCTTACCCACATTAGTTTAAACTTCTTCGGACCTCCAATTCTTGGCTAGGCTGATGATTTTTCCTGCCAGATTTCGAAGTGCACAAAGAGTGCACAACACATCGCCAATCACTTCAAGTGTAACTATATCCATCATCAGCTATCCATGTACCGGAAATCACGACCGAATATTTATAGTAGGAATCATTAGGATGAGTGCATTCCTTCACTTTTTGTGAAACTTCTACGTTTGGATGGCCTTTGTCCTTCTTGGATGGCGCAATTTAAAGCCCTGAAGGCCAGTGGAATGTGGAGGATTTGGAGGCCAAACTGGCGGAGCAGGCAGAAAAGAGCACAGATCTAAGGGCAGAAGCCTATTTGCTGGCAGAGTCGGCCAAAAATGCGCCTGAAGCCAGTCCGATTTCTTCTCCAGAGGCCAAAGACAGCCCCAGCAAACGCTTCAGTTTTAGCAGCGCTGCGGGTGTTGAAGGGCCTCCGGTGCTGGCAGGCCTCTCAGTAGAGGAGTTGTTGCGCTCTCATCGTGAAGCCCTGCCGAACCTTGAGGGTCAATGCCTATTGGATGAGTTGCAAAACAGCATCGACACCGACACAACCCCCCAGACTCAAAGCAGTCAAGGCGCCTGTGCCAGCCAAAGCATGCGACTCTCGCAGATTTCCTATGGCTACCATGGCGTGTCTGTGAAACCACCTACCAGTTCCGACACTTCCGGGGCAGGTACTGCAGGCACGAAGGGCTCCACTTTGGTGAACGGTCTCCACAAAGGTCAGTCACAGTTGGAAGCACCGCTCCAGCACCGAAACGCCTGGAAACTCCTGCCTTTAAGGAAGCCACTTCTCACCAAACGTTCGCGTCGATGCAAGCTCCTGAGTCCTGGTGAGACCAGTGAAGCCAAAACCTGCAAGGGGCTGGTGGTGAAACCTCAGATCAACCCTTGCGCCAATCCACCCTTTCAGAAGAACAGCGTGGCCATGAATTTCGTGCCGCGCTGCTTGCCATGGAGTTGCCGTGAAGACGCTGGAAACTACGAATTGGTCCTGATTCTCGCGAATCCCATGGAGAGCGATGTGGAGCTTCAACTCGATCCCTCAGCTTTCAATGGATTCTCCGGAGGAAAAGCCGGTGGCTATGGCTCAGACTGGAGCCCATTGCTGTCCCAACAAAATGTGGAGGTTTCAACCTCCCCCTTCAGCACCGTCATCCCAAAGTTTCTGGATCTCACTGAAGCCACGGAGGTCTTTGAGGATGAGGCCAAACAGTTGCAGCAACAGGATGACCCAGATGCTTGCTTGCTGCTAGTGGTTTTTAAAAAGATTCTTCATTTTCCATAACCTACTTATATCATCTTATTTCATCTTATATCATCTTATATCCACTTGTCCCATTTTATCATCTATTTTATACTTATTTGGTAAATCTGATTGGGATGATATGATTTTCATTGATTTTCCATACTCCCCCTGCGTTTTTCCATATTTCTCAGTGCTCAAGATTTGGCGAAAAAAGGATGTGATCCTTGACCGAAAACTGAACAAGATCCTGGTGCGCTTGCGCTTTCGCAAAGTCGAATCGCCACCCACGCCACAGGACGCAAGTGGAGCTAAGGCTGGCTGGGCCTTCTTCATTAAGATGACTATGAAATTCAGCGTGCGCTTCAGTGCTGAGGAAGTCAAGGTCCATGAGCTTCAGCTTGTGTTGAGCCTCAGATCGACCTGAGCAAAAAGATGGGGCTGACACAACTGTGCCATCGAAACTGGCATTACAAAAGCACCGTATACAACATACAATCGAATTTAACTGTAGTCGCTCACACCTAACATGTATTATGTACATGTACGCGAACAGTTTCAAACAACACGCCTACTTGCGTCATTGCCACATATTCCCAGTCCCCAGCTGTGGATGTCGAAGATGTATCCAGTTGTATCCAGGCAGCCTGCCTTGACAGATTTGTAGAGATTACTGGGTTCTATCCATGTAGCCTGTCGGCTTTGATCCGCAGCCGTGCTGGCACGAAAGATACGAAAGGCGCAGCTGTGCCATTCAGGGTGACATCATGGCGATCAATCATTGGAATTCCTATCCACCAATCAGATTTACGGCGCTCAGGTGTGCTCAGGTGATATTTTCTTGGTCAGACTTGGATCATCCCACTTTTTAGCTGAATTGCAGCTGGGGATATATATAAGTTATATAAGTTATATAAGTTATATAAGTTATAAGCCGATCATTCATGGGATACCCCACAGGCAAACTTTGCTGGGGCCCTTTACCATGTTTAATCTGGTTGGTGGTTTCAAACATTTTTTATTTTCCATAATATATGGGAATAGTAACCCCAGCTGACTAATATTTTTCAGAGGGGTTGAAACCACCAACCAGTAATATTTCACCACTGTAATGCTATGAGACCCGAGGGCTGTCAGGTCAGTGAGTGCTGTCCTGACCTCAAAGAGGCGAGCCATGTGGTCCACCTGAAGGACGCAACGCGGCCTGGTGGATTGTTGGATTGTTGGATCTCGGCAACGTTCGGCAAGCCATCAGAGTACTTAAGATATCTTAAGATAAAACAATCACCAGATATCAGCCATATGAAATGATTCACCATGATTCAATTTCATATGTTGATGTTAGATCACATTACTGTACATTACTACGTTTATTGATTTCATGTGAATCTGTGCTTGCTGGACCCACTTCTTGGGCGCATCTTTGCCAGTGCGTCCTGCGAGGGCTTTGGCACTGGTCGTTTCCCACCACCCGGGCCTACATGTGAGGCGCTCAAGTGAATCCCTGATCTTGAACCCATGGTTAGGGAACGAGTCAACTTCCCTGATGGATAGGGTTAGGGTTAGTACGGAATACATGGCTGAATGGCTGCCCAACATTTTGACCTTGGATTTCTCGTGGGTTTCTCCTGGACTTGCTGACTCCTGGCAGTTTGACTGATTTTCTTCAGGTTCTGATGACTTCTTGGTGAATCTGGTCCTGGAGGCACTTCGCCCCTCCGGCATCCTCGTGTGGGATGGCGATGAGTTTGCAGAGGACGGTCTCCGATATCCATGTTATCCGGCCATCATCACGGTTTGCACTGTTTCATATGTTGGTATATTAGGAAAATTATCTCCAAACTTGCCTAGTTCAGGTTGATGAATATGAAAAGATCTGATCAGAATGGCATGGATCGCAGCTTGGGAGCTTGGCTGATTCGTGGATCGATGTGGATCGAGGAATCTGGCAATTCAAATGCTGGTCAGGACAGCTTCACTCGAATCCTAGACAAAGCTAGGGGCCCAGATGTTCCATACCAAAGGCTGCACGTTGGACCCCTTGGACCCGTTGGACATGGGTCAGGGTCGCATATGCTCCTGTATTCTAGCCCAGCAATTGAACACCCCCCAATTATTGTAGGCGATTGGCGATTTTCTTATTTAATGCTCTAATCTCCAATCATTATTCAATATCATTCAACTGTTGCAGGTGATTATAATATATATATATATTTATATATATATATAATTATGATACACACACATATATATATATATATCTATTCATCAATCAATTCCACAAATTCCACAAGCTCAAAGGCCATGTTTCCATTGCAGGTGTTGTGCCGCCCCATCACCGCCGTGGCCTTCTATTGGCGGACTGAGCGGGACAGGTTTCTGGCATCGTGGCAGCCGCGAATGGCACGATACCCGGGGAACCTTCACCTGGTGCTGCTGGAGGATCCAGGCGCCGACCATAAAGGACCCGATCTGAAGAGATCAGATAATGGCTGAAGTCAGCGGATCTTTTTCGGATTTTTTGAGGATCTACTGTATTTTTTTTTGGTGTGTCTATGCATCCAAAGAATCCAACGATCCGGTTAAACAACTATTTGATCGTCTTTTGGTTGATACGGGCCTCACATATACATACCACGAGAATCCAGCCAACTTTGAATATACATTTGAATCATTTGACTTAGTTAGTGTTGTCCTATCCCTGGTAGGTTGTTGCTTGCTCCTTCTCATGTGTTATTGGTACAATTGATATATCCCATTCCAACTCCGGAGTCCATTTCTTCATCTACACCCAAGCTACCATCTCAATTTCGATCCAATTGATTACCAAAGAATCTTCCACCAAACCATCATTTTCAAAGCATTTGAAACCATCATTAAACCCCATGAGCCTGGAGACCTGGACAATGAGAGGAGCGGACCCCACAACCGAGTACGATCTCCCAAGCATAGACAGAGGAGACGAGACTATGTCAGAGTTGAGTAGAGTAGATTCCAGTAATTAGATGGATAGGTAGCGGTAGATAGATACATGCTATATATATATATGTTATAATTATATATGTAACACACACATATGACATATATTATATGTTATATATATATGTAATTACAATTAATTATACTTAGTTATAATTAATTATGTATATATGTATGTATATATATATATATATCTATGCATACATACATACATACATACATACATACATACATACATACATACATACATACATACATACATACATATCTATGTTATTGGTTAAGTCGGTGATCACCGTTCCAGGCTTGACGGGTGATGCAAGCTGGGTGCAACTGGGTGTGGCTGCCTTGCGTTTCACGGGTGCCAAGGATGTGCTATCCTTGGGTGGTGGAGGCAGGGGTGACAAGGGGATGATGATGATGATGATGATGATGATGATGATGATGATGATGTCGTCGTCTATGATTCATCAATATTCATCATAATCGAATATTATCACATGTCATGTATGCAGGTACCAGGTATCTGCTATATATATATGTATATATATATACATATATATATATATATATATATTGTATATGCGTGTTTATAATCATTATCTATAATAATGATCGCCATCATTCTGAATCATTCTTCTATTTGTCTTAGCGTTTTGATTCCAGATGACTTTGGATCGTCTGCCCAGCGGCCATCCAGGTGTGGTCGCCAAAGAAGCAGCTCTTTGCGCCCAAGACGACGTGCTCAACGCCGTGAAGTGGCGCCTGATTTTGGTTCCCAGATGGGATCCCGAGTCCTCGGAGTAGCTTGGCAAAGTGACAGGGGAGAGTGAAGCCATGAATTGAAACCATAATATTTATATGGGTTATTTAAGTTATCGGTCATAGATTGGTCACATGATGTTTGATGAAATATGTAGAAATCCATGTTTGTTGACTATTCTGAATTAATTTCATTATTTACTGTTGGCCTTTTATACATGGCAACTATATGGGGGAATCATTTGTTTCAACTCCGGGAAGATCCTTTGACTTTTCGCCTGAGGTCCTCAGCGCCAAACTTGGGCAGCCTCTACCAGTGCTGCTGCGCTGAGAGGTGGTCCAACTTCGAATGCCTCGAAGTACGACCGGAAAACGTTGAAGAAAAATGGGGGCTTCCAAAGTCATGGGTGATCCCGAAGTCACTCACTGGTTTCCAATACTAAAACTGGTCTAATGACTTGGATGATTTGGGAGGTACCCCCAGTTTGGGAAAGCTCCAGAAGGGGGTGTGCAAGTGCTAAGGCTGCTAAGGCAGCAGTTTCAAGCCAAGACGGAACTTGCGTGGGGTTGTTGGGTTGTAGCCATGTGCCCAAACTGAGATTGTTTCACTGTCGCGAAGGTAAGACCAATGATCAAAAGCATTCAAAAGCACATTCATGTTTTTCGCTTGGTTCTACATTTTGATCCATGCTAACATCTAAATGCGTGTCGCAGCATTGAAGCAAAGATTGTGTCAAAATGGATGGCCCATGGCGTAGCCGCTGCAGACGATCTGCATTTGTGGCTTGGCCGAGCCTTGATGATCTGGTCAGCTGGCAGGTATGCCCCGAGCAGTTTCAGCCGTACCATATGAGCTATGGTCAATACTCATGGTTAATAACCATTAATAGGGGCTAGTCATCCAATGGTTCATAGGGATTTATAATAACCATTATTTTGGGATCCTTACTATGGATGGGATGACCATCAACCATATAGTGAGTATTGACCATGGCTCATATGTTTGAACAAAGATTTGGACATGTTGCACCACCTCTGAAGAAAAGGTTCCGGCCCTTGTCCTGCTGGGAAGCAGCCAGTTTCTGGTTATTGGCTTCGTTGGGCCCGATGTCCCCAGCTACACTAGAAGCGAAGGCGGAACGTGTGGCATCTTGTGGCCAAAGCCTGAGGGTAAAGTAGTACCCGGGATGTACCCTCTGGTAAACTAACATAACTATGGAAAATCACCATTTTTACTGGGACAATCCACTATAAATGGCCATTTTCAATAGCTATGTTAAATTACCAGAGGGTATCATCTTTGGAGAAGCCATGGAAAACCGAGATTCTGAATCTATTCAAAGCGAGTCCTGGGAGCCACAGGATCCCACCTGTAAAGTCGATGCAGGTCGCCCCGTGGCGAGACGTTCAGAGCAATTTGGCGGCAAAATTACCATGGTGTTGGCTCCAGTAGTAGACTTTTCCGGAATTTTCCATGGATTTTCCGGTGATATTCTGAATTTGTCCCAGTTTCCCAAACCTTCCAAAATTGCCCCATGATTTACCATGACCAAAGTTTCATGGATGTTCCATGATTCTTCCCCATGAGCTCTGGCTGCAGTGTTGTAGTCATATGATGACTTAAGTCTTTTCCGCAACCTCTGGCCACTGAGGGGTGGCGATCTACTAGAAGGCTTCTGGGCAACTTCAAGACTCGTATATACAGCACGACACGTTTGTCGCATTTTATCTGTACAGTTGGCCACCACAGATGATGTTTTGACAGGGGAGCGCTTCATCGTGCCAGCCTCAAATTTGAGGGAAAATCCGCAAGATCCCATATCTGTGGTAAAAACGATGGTTTCCTGTAGGGACAGTCCTTCAACCCATGGGTGCTGTGGCCGCCAAAGGGCTCACTGAGGTCATGAATCGGTTTCGAGTCAAAGAAGGCGCTGAAGAGCGATTCGAGCAGCGCTGGGGCAAAGATCGCTCTGTTGCTGGTTGCTGGATGCACTTTTTTGCTGCTACGCGTTGGTGGCCAGATTTGGACCCAGTATGTTCGGTGTGTTGACGGGTGTTGAAACATGATTTCTTTTGCCATGCTGGTTGACTACACTTTGGGCCCCCAGATTCTAAATGAAAAGATGGCAGTGACTAGGCCCTTTGAGAGGGGCATCTTGCTGCAGTTGCTTAGTGAAATCGGACTTCCCTTGCCAACACTGGCTGGCTTAACACGCAGAAATCACATGGAATATATTGGAATATCACATGGGGTGAATCATCCATTCTACCCTGACAGAGAGATATTTGAAGGACAAACAGATTTTTGCAAAAGATGTGCCAAGATCTTCCAAGGCCAGGCGGCCAGTTTCAGCGTAAAAAACCAATTTTGAGACGGATCTTTCTGAGCCAAGCCAGGTTTTGGAGCCCCTGTAAAGCCAACATGGCAGAAGTACCACATCCCATGTTCCAAAGCCATTCATTGAGGTCTTCAGATTTCATCAGATCTCCAGGGGTACCATGATGGGCTTAGGATAGCTGGTTTCAACTGGAGTCTTCTCTGGGGACAAGCAGATAGGCCATGATAGGCCTAGTCACACCAGTTGCCAACAATGTTTTGATATGGTTCTAATTATCCCCAGAACGTCTAGGATCACTGCGGGCTAGATTTAATGGTATTATAATATATATTTATATATGGTTTTATGATGTTGCATGTCAGCCAGAGCTGGAACCTTCAAGTCATCCAATTCGATTAAGTGTGAGCAGAGCTGAGATATAATGCATATGACTTATGACCATCATAAGATATGACCTATAGATATGTACACCAATTACCAGGCAAATGACCCAGCCAGAAAAATCAATAACTGCATAGATAAAATCATGAATAATCATTTTTAGTCATGATAAAATCGATAAATACATGGAATTTCTATATTTCTGTTGAGGTTTCCAGATTTCTCCGGTACAACGGTTGTGACCACAGCAAGGCTTGGAGGGTTTGCGCTGGTTCTCTCTCCTGCGACGCGTGTCCAGCACGCCAAAGTCCACAGGAGCCCTCAGTGTCTCTCGGGTGAATGGTTTCCTTCAGTACAGCTTGGCCGTCCCAACAGCTTTTAGACATTTGCTGTAGTAGAGATCATCTAGAATATATATGCCATAATTAGTAGAGATATATATAATGAAAAATAAATTGTCTTCCATTGCAGTGCTGTTTGCATGCGGGTTCAGATGTACATGAGCACGGTATGACCCTTTGAAGGGGGTGATATGGGTGTCTGTGTATACACCTTCAGTGTGTCATCAGGGAAGTAGCTAAACGCTCTTGAAAACTCTACTTGCGATCGCCCTGTGTCTCGTTTTCATTGTGTTTGTGTGCTTGTTTGTTTGTGCGCGCGTGCCTGTGTGTTTTTCAAGACTGACATGCCAAGGTTGTGTTCAACTACGACGACGAGCAGTTCGAAGATGTTGCTGGCATGCAATCCGTGAAGCACTTTTGAACGTGGCATTTGTTTTGCAGATGCTGTTCTGGGGCTGGTGGCCTGAGGACTACACCTATGTTTCCCTTGGCGTTTGGGAAAGCAAAGGGGCATTCAGTGCCAGCACTGCGCAGACGCAGGACGCATTTCCTATGACCGGAAACTGGGGACGCGCCAATTTTGGCGGCTAATCATCAAAGAGAGTCACCAAACTAAACCGTCAATAATAGTCAACATCAATCAACATCACAATTAATCCGATAACAGATGGCAACCCCTTTAAATTGACACTTTGATACCAGGGGGTGCTTCACGGAAGAAGCCCGCGAAAAAAAAATCAAAAGATGGAAGTGAGATGAATAAAGCCCTATATTCATCAAACATGGCTGGTTGATTACCATAATTACCCCATTTGAATCCATTGGAAAATTTCGTTCGATCATTTTCCCATCAATCCCTCCATTTGGTCCGGGGATTTCCCATCGCATCCCGCAGGAAGACAGCGCGAGTTTCGCCAGTGCAGTCACTGGGATTCACACGGCGCAGACGTGATTTTGAAGTGGGAGAAGTGAAAATTGCTGCATCAATGTACCCTCTGGTATATAAGTGACCACATAACTATGGAAAGATCCACCATTTTTAATGGGAAAACTCACTATTTCTGATTTCTATGGCAATTTTCAATAGCTATGTTAGTTTACCAGAGGGTACATTGGTGCAGCACCCCCAATTTTGCATGTGGAATATCACAAATCATGTGACTTCAGTCACCACTTTGCAACTAACATAATTAACACACACACACACACACGCACACATTCCTAAGAAAATTTCTCAAGCTTTGACCCAGGCCCCAAGAAAAACTACACGGCTTGCCGCCAGCGAAATCGCCAGGTGCTGAAAGGATTCCCTACGAGTGGTCCCCCGAAGCCCGCGCTTTGGGATGGAATGCTGTTGGAGAAAGCCGAGGCATTCCGAACGGGGATCCGTTCGCCTTGTGAAGCCGCAGATGATGAATATTTTTCCATTGAACCTAAATCCATTGCAGTAATCCAGGCATTTCCAGGCCATTTTCCCAAAAAAACGTAGGAGTTGTCCCAGGCCATGTCCAGTCAAACACGACTTCAGGAGACAGCAAAGGCTGCACCTTTCATTGCTGGAGCCTCAGGGGACCCCAACCAGATGGTAACATCCTGGGCAAATTGGTTCCATTTCTTTTTTTGAGGGGTAATTTTATTGATTACCGTATGTGTGCTATAAATGGAGACATTTTACGACATATATAACTAGATAATATGTATGTATATATATATATATTTATTCATAAGCTGTGGTAGTTTTTTTTTGGGCATTTCTTGTCGTATTATTATTCTGTCATATTTTTATCGACATTTGGAAAACGTGTCCCACCAGGCCCATCCTGGAATATCCTGGAATCCTCGCCCGCTGCCCGCGCTCAGGTCATGAACCGCTTTACGGTGAAGCCTGGATCGGAGCCGGAGTTTGAGCAGCGCTGGGCCAAGCGAGAAAGCAAGCTGCAAGAGGCACGGCGCATCGCGGCGCTGGGTCCCCATAAATTGATAGATATCGACATGATATAGATAGATAGATGATGACCATGATGACATATGAACAAAACTATAGATTCATATCATGATATTGCCTGATTCTGCGTTCTCACAATTCTTACAAGCGTATAGATAGATAGATACGATAAGATAAGATAGGATGAGATAAGATACGATGGACAGATTGGCTGATAGATAGGCTGCATGGCCCAGCTGCAGGCCAAAGGCTTCCAATTCTTCCAGCTCTTAAGACGAGCGCAAACTCCAGACGATGATGTAACTTGGATTACCTTGGCAAAAGGAGGGCTATTTCGTTGGGGAATTGGACCCTTTTTTTGATTTCTGTTTCCTTGCTTCTTTGCTTTTCTGCTTCTTTGCTCCTCTGCTTCTTCACGCTTTTCTGCGGTTTTCTGCTTTTTTTGCTTATCAAGCCTAAATAACCCCCAAGATGCACTATAAATCCAACCCTAAATAACCCTCAAACCACCCCCCAAAAAAAACACAAAAGCAACTCTAAGTAAACCCTTTAAAAACCCTAGAATCTGAAACTTCCCGCAAACAAACCCTAAACCAAAACTAACACCCCCAAAGAAACAAAAGCACCCCTAAGCCCCTAAATAGACTCTGACACTTACGCTAAATAAACCCTAAACCAGCCCGAAATAGATCCTAAACCCAACCCAAATGGATCTTAAACCAAGCCTAAAGAAACCCTAAACCAACCCAAAATAAGCCCCAAACCAACCCTAAAACCACCCCCCCCCAAAAAAACAACAATTAAAAAATAAATAACCCTAAACCAATCCAAACCTTAACAAACCTAAGTGGCCCCTAATCGGAAAGTACCATCCAACATGAAAAGTTTGAGCACCAAAATGTTGCAAATATCACGGAAAATGAGAGGTTTGAACTCCAAAATGTCGCAATACCGCTGAAATGGCAGCTTCCAGCTCCAAAATGCTGCAAATTGCAAGGTAAATGGATAAAACAGCAGATCCAAAACAAAACAAAACGGATAAACACAATTCTCAAAAGAAAGATCCGGACCCATATGGCAAAATGGCAAAAGCCTGGATACGGATCATCAAACCTATGACAATTATACCATGTTTGGAGATCGGTTTGCCAGTGATTTTGATGTGAAGCACTTAGTTCCAGGTGAACTACATCAGCATGAGCGCTTGGACGGATCGGAGTAGCTTTGACAAATGGTGGAGCAGCAAAAGCTTCGCGAATATGGCGCAAGCTTCCGCGGGCATGTTTGGACCATTGGGCCGTTGGAACATTGGAAGCCAAACCTTGGAGGATCCAACGGGGGGAGCGGATGTCGTGGCGGTCCAGTCTTGCCCAATGCCAGGTTCAGGGAAACCTCTTGGAAAGTGTACCTTGGAAGCAATGCCAATCTATACACATCGCTGGCCCATGAGTCAAAGAACTGAGGAGATTGTTCGCTACTTCTACGAGGGGGTGTGTCTTGCCTCAAGTTCCGGCCCGGCCGGGATGATGCTAAGTCACTCTTGGAGGAAATTGCCAGAGCTTTGCGTTGCAGCGTTGTGGAAATCTAAGCATGGCTGCAAGTGATACAGTATCACCTGATATTTGATAATTGCACATAGTTGCTTCTCTTTTTTTCCGGATGTTGTTTATGATTATGATATTCAACCATTCCAATTTTGTCGTACGCATTTTGCACTCAGAGCACCCAGAGCCCCAAGATTTTTGTGTTTCATCGCTCTCTTTTGAACCTGCGCCTGCCGTGAGGTTTGTGGTGGAGGGTGACAAGGGCCTGTGAGGGCACCTGTTGGCTTGGCGCCATGCAGCGCTGCCAGATGCATCAGACAGAAACCACCAGCTGGAAAGTGGCTGGTGGAATCCAAGCATCTCACCAAACAATACACAAATCATCTAGGTTGTTTCAGGGCTGTTTAGGAAAGGACCTGTTGAATTTCCTGGAAGCTTTCCCTTCATGCAATTCTGGTAGAATCCAGTCTTGCTTTGTTTCACCCTGAGTCTTTGGTGAGGGGCTGGGCCTCATGGCTTTTTCCAAATAATTACAATGAAAGACCGATCCGGGAATGGCTCAAAACAATTGCACCCCAAAGTCACTGGTGACTTTGATATGAAATGAAGCTTAGGATGACTTGAATGACTTGACCGAAATTTGATCAACATAAACTGGTACCAGCAGAGGAGCTCGTTTTTTGAGCCAGACCTGATTGGCCGAAAGTTTTCATGCGATTGCTTTTATATTTGCTCTCATCGTTTCGCGCAAGTTCGCCCTTTGAAAGAAGCCGCTGCTGACCGAGACAAGATGGACCTGTCGAAGTGGTGGACTTCTGGCTATCTTCAAAAATCGTGTGGCAGCTGCGCACAATGGCTGAGGGTTCTATTTTTTGGCTGGAACAAGGTGTGCAAACCTTTCTGTTTGGTGAAGTTGGAGTATTTACGATGATATAGATCTAGATGTAATACGCACATATATATATATAGATATATATATATATATTATATTATATGAATAATGTTTAAATTAGCGCACAAATATTTACATAGGATTTTCAATTTAATTATGCACATACATACATTCATACATAGATAAGCATAGATTTTTGAAGATATGTAAATATATTTATAGACGTGTAAGATGTGTAAAGGTATGTGTAGATATGTTTAGATATGTATATATATATATGTATCGATATGTGTCGATATGTATAGATATGTATCGATATGTATAGATATGCACAGATATGTATAGATATGTACAGATATGTATAGATATGCACAGATATGTATAGATTTAGATATGTACAGATATGTATAGTATAGATATGTACAGTTATGTATAGATATGTACAGATATGTAAAGATATGTGCAGATATGTATAGATATGTATAGATATGTATAGATATGTACAGATATGTATAGATATATGTATAGATATGTATAGATATGTATAGATATGTATGGATATGTATAGATATGTCCAGATATGTACAGATATGTATAGATATGTATAGATATGTATGGATATGTATAGATATGTATAAATATGTCCAGATATGTATAGATATGTATGGATATGTATAGATATGTATGGATATGTATAGATATGTCCAGATATGTACAGATATGTACAGATATGTATAGATATGTATCGATATGTATAGATATGTATGGATATGTATAGATATGTCCAGATATGTACAGATATGTACAGATATGTATAGATATGTATGGATATGTATAGATATGTACAGATATGTATAGATATATGTATAGATATGTATAGATATGTATAGATATGTATGGATATGTATAGATATGTCCAGATATGTACAGATATGTATAGATATGTATAGATATGTATGGATATGTATAGATATGTATAAATATGTCCAGATATGTATAGATATGTATAGATATGTATGGATATGTATAGATATGTATAGATATGTCCAGATATGTACAGATATGTATAGATATGTATAGATATGTATAGATATGTCCAGATATTATAGATATGTATGGATATGTATAGATATGTCCAGATATGTACAGATATGTATAGATATGTATAGATATGTATGGATATGTATAGATATGTATAGATATGTCCAGATATGTATAGATATGTATAGATATGTATGGATATGTATAGATATGTCCAGATATGTATAGATATGTATGGATATGTATAGATATGTATAGATATGTCCAGATATGTACAGATATGTATAGATATGTATAGATATGTATAGATATGTCCAGATATGTACAGATATGTACAGATATGTACAGATATGTATAGATATGTATGGATATGTATAGATATGTATGGATATGTATAGATATGTATAGATATGTATAGATGGAGATAGATAGAATCGGGTCAGCCATGGCCTTGCACTGGACCGACTGGACGGTCCGCCCGGGAGTTTGTTCCACGGTGGGGCGGCCAATGGAGGGCTCGTCACACAGAGTCCAATCCGAGGTAACGCGGAGTTTGTTGGACGTAAATACAAGTATAAATGTGTAACAGCATACATACATACAATACAATACAATACAATACAATACAATACAATACAATACAATACAATACAATACAATACAATACAATACATACATACAATACATACAATACATACAATACATACAATACATACAATACATACAATACATACAATACATACAATACATACAATACATACAATACATACAATACATACAATACATACAATACATACATACATTACATTACATTACATTACATTACAATACAATACAATACAATACATACAATACATACCTTACATACATACATACATACATACATACACATGATTGTGTGTGTGAGTGTTTGCATTTGTCAGTTTTGTGTATTCATGACATCGAATCATGAAACCATACATGTTTGGTTTTGGTCTTTGTTTAGCTGTCACTCTGGGCAAGTTATGTCAAGTGATTCCAGGCCAAGGTTGAAGCACCCTGGTGTCCCGTTGGGTCCGGGGGCCAAGAGCCTGAGCTTCTGGCAATGTTCATTTCTTATTGCGAATACGGATGCATATCTGAGAAATGATACGCATATATCGTATGAGGTATTTGTTGCAAAATGATAGGCAACGACATCCCATTATCATCATTTATCATCACTGTGACGCGGAATCCCCATGTGGGGAACCATTTCCTTGAACCCTTGCATTTTAGAGTGATTCATCATGCTCCAGAACCGCTTTATTGTGAAAGACGTTTTTTCCCAAGGGGCGGAGGTCGGATTCACGTGGAATTTTCGGCTCAAAAGGTGCACTCCTCTTTTGGGATCATGGGCCCCAACAAGGCGGTGGATGTTCCACCCCCAACGGCCCTTTATGAAAGGATAGTTGAAGAGAACCGCGCCAGGGCCAGCGTGGATTTCACATGATTTCACAGTGCCTCCGGCTATCTCCCAGCAATGCCAATGAAACAAGTAGCATCTCAAATAGAAGGGCTCATGCTGACACCCAGCCAGAGCATGTCCGAGCAATGTCTTTGGTAGGCACCTGCGCCTTGGAGAAAATCCGCGAAGAATATTGGGGATATCATGGGGTTTGAAGGGTTATAGTAGGATTTACGGGCTCATGAGGGGATTCAATGGGACATAGGGGATGTGGTTTGCTGATGATTTAGTGTAGATTTTATTGGGGTGTTGTGGTGAGTTTAAAGGATTTAACGGAATGTGCGCATTGGGGATATAATGTGGATTTCTCCGGCATGTCATGGGGATTGAACCGGGATGTAATGTGATATACTGATATACTCTATTTGGCTGTGTCCGAAAATGAGGTATGCTGGCATGCCATACATATTGCCTTCTATTGACGATTACCCTCCGGTAAACTAACATAACTATGGAAAATCACCATTTTCAATGGGTAAATCCATTATAAAAGTGCAATTTTCCATAGCTATGTTAATTTACCAGAGGGTATCATGACTAAAAAAAAGATCCACGGCATATGCCACGAACGCGCTTTTCGTGGTCCCACCGATGGCCACGAGAACCATGTTTTTTTTGGCCACCAGAGATGACCCACCTAACAGTCAACTTCAAGCTGTTTGAGTTTCTCTTTACTTCAAGGTGCTTATAAAACATCAACCATCATAATATTCTAAAAATGCAAACATAAAGTCATACATCATCCCAAATATCCATATATCATTTTGTATCATTATATATCCCATTGCAGTCGCATAGCGCACCATCCGCACCATCTCCCCTCGTCTCTTGCAGGAAGCTTGCCCACAAACAAACCAAGATAAATCACACGCTCATATATATATATATACACATAATCATATACATATATATATATAATATATACATAATCACACACACATACACATGCACACACACATATACATATATATATATATACATACACACATAATCATATATATATATATATGCATAATCACACGCACACACACATATATATATAAATAAATAAATAAACAAATATTTATATATATATATATTATGCACGTATCCCCAACATATCCTAACATCATAGGCTAATCACTGAAGCCCTTTTCTAAACGCCCAGGTTGCCGCCTTCTCAACGTCGCCTGGCGCATGGTCCTGCGGGCATTCTCTCGCATCCAGTCACGCGAGGCGGTGTGCCAGACTCAGTGGATCCTTGTGGTGGTTGATGGTTTTTCAGCATCTTTTCATGGGATATGAGCCATCAACATTCAGATTCAACCATGAACATGGAAATTTTTCAGAATCAAAATTTGGACTTAACGGTCAACATAGACATTTAAATCATCCAACGTGTCGATTCAAACACGTTTCCGGAGAGTGCGGATTGACTCGTGCTGTGGAATCGAATGTGGAATCAACCATCAAGGATCTGAATTGAGGAAATTCAAACGCCAAAATTGGGAACTACAATTGAAATCAGTAGCACTGAAATGAGTGGCAACTCGTCGACTGTGGATATAGAATGATATATGATATAGACATATAATATTGGGATTTAAAAAAAGTACATTATTGCAATCCAAAATGGGTTTGTCTAAAAATTGACTTCCCATTTTGTGGGTCAAAAGTTTGAGACAACCCCAAATGGTGGATTCTGGTCGAACATATTCCCCCCCCTCCGCATTAGCAATCAAGTGTCACGAGCCAAAAAAAAATCGTCGAAAACGAGATCTCAAGCGAAGGTACCAGACAGATGACGTGGGTTTATCCTAGAATCGCACGGTTTCTGATGATTTTGGGAGATATTTATGATATTTATAGTTTATCAGGCATTTTCCGGTTTTCCTCCATCTAACTACTGTATGGGATGAATTAAGGTACAGGGCTCCTTTGATTGATGGCGAGGAGCAGGAGGTAGCACCTGAGGCGCCGTTCTGTGTCAAACCACAGTTGTGTACCGCGCTAACTGTGAGACTTTGCACCGCTTGGAGATTCTTACAGATTTCCCAGAGTTAGTTTAGTATACTCAGAGTTACAGTAGATTTATTGTTATGCTTATACGTACTTATAATAATCGTTGTACTCATACATGCCTATATTATATTGTAATCCATTATCGCTGTAAATCTACATGCATCTATTCGGTATCATTCGGTATCTATCTATATGTACTATCTATCTATCTATCTATCTATCTATCTATCTATATATATATGTATACACCTTTTGTACCCATTATGATTAGTTATATATCACGGTTCTTAATGGTTATTATACATCACCCATCCATAGCTGACCCAAGTTGCCATGAAAACTGGGCACTCCAGAGACTCCAGGGACTCCAGGCGCCAAAGCTCTCCGAGGCCGAGAAATCGATGGAAAAGTTCGTTCCTGCGAAGTAAATCGTCAACTTATAGTAGGAACTCATAAATAACTGCATATAGTGGGAAAAATCCAATCAGATTATCACTATTTGCTAGTAGATGTGGAACATGTGGAACTCCACCTCATTTTATAGGTCATGGAACTAATCATGGGCCATGGTTTGCACATCTATGTTGCCCCCGGGGTAGTATATGTGTGTATGAAATATTGATATATAGTGGGAAAGAAGGGAAAAGTAAGTTCCAACTTAGTTTTCTGGGTTTTTCTCTTAACATAAGTGGTACCTGTTTTTGCTTTTACTTTTTTGGGATGTTAGTATGTCTCAGCATCGAAGGATTGGAAGGGAAGATTCACAGGACTCCTGCAACAATTAGCGGGAAGAACGTACGGTTTCATGTGGTTTTTGTCTTCAACCAGTCCAGTGACTCAATCGCAACAGGGGGAGAGCCTGCTGTTGCGGAAGTGCGGTTGGTTTCGTGCTTTCAGCAGTTTGTTTTGAGCAAGTGGCCAGCCCCTTCTGCTTCGCATCGCATCTATTGGTCAACAAATGAAGGCTACCCCCCAAAATACAATTGTATATACTGAGGAAACCGATTACAAAGTGATGATAAACCACTGGCTCTGGCAAATGCCCGATTTTCGGACAAACACACATGGAAGACCCCAACGAAGGCTTGAAACTTGTTGAAACCGGAAGCAGCTCATGGGAGCACGACAGGAAGAGCGTGCGCGAATTCTTGGGAACATGCTGCCGCGTCGAATCCCTCAACTCCCCAAAGAGTGCGATGAGAAGGCCCCGGGGCCTTTGGACTTGGCCAAGTTTGGGGTTTTTCTGTGTCTTAGATGAGAAAAATTAACCCATGTGTTAGCGGAACGGCGTGTATGGCTGGGCAACACCCCTTGAACCATCTGAACTTGGCGAAGTCTGCCGGAATTTAATCTAAATCCAAATCCAAATCATTCCAAATCGGTTTGCAGCCCAAAGGGCCAAAAAAGAGTTCAGCCCATTAAGATCCAAAAACCAAGCGAATTTGGCAGCATTTTTGTGTGGAAAAGAGCGGTCACCAAAAAACTCCAAAAGTGGACCCCGCTTTCCCCAGCTGTGGCTAGGTCCTAGAACAGCTCCAGGAGGATTTCATGGAGATAGCACGGTCAGCTGATTCCGAGGCAGATCTGAGATCTGGATACATCTGGCACATGTGACCTGGTGAATGGTAGGTGAAATGTAGGTGAATGGATTAATTCGGTTTAATTATGGATAGTTTTTTTTGGGGGGAATGGGGGTGCAAAATTCATATAAATTCATAAAAGGATTCAAAAGGCCAGTTCTAATCCTTTTTTAAATGTATTTTTGCATCTAGGACCAGCCATGTCTATGGCAATGGCCAGTGCCACCAGCAAATCATGGGACCGAAGATACCGAATCGTTTTCAGGCCGCCTTTGAAGCTGTAAAGGAAGCACCAACTCAGATTGTGAATGCTTGCGCTGGCCTTAATGGTGGACCCATCCACCACCAGAGACGGCTAGGGCTAGGGTTGAAGAGGTGAAATAGATATAAAAATAAATATAACTAAGTGTGCATTGCAATTTTTTGGACCCTACGCATGATATAGAATTAGCGTATTTATGCAGAAAGATACACACACGGATATATATATATATATATACTACAACCTGAATCTTATAACATTGCATAAGGATATACATGGTACGGTTGCTTCCCGTTACTGCGATTCAGGAAATGGTGGACCTTGAAGATGCCTGCCATCCTTGCCTTCCTTGCCATAAGGTGATGAGTGCTCCGGCACCGCGTTGCACTTCTTCGCCGCGGAGGGTCATGTACAGGTTGGAAATTGTTGGGAACTGGGAACAGCTGGACAAAAGTTCGCTGTTTGGGTGAAGTGGCTAGCTCTCTTTTGCATATTTTAACAGTTTCCAGAGTCCAGTCTTGAATGATGAACCACATATAAGATAATATAGGAATAGATGGTTCATAGATGGAATAGATTTTCAAATAGATGGACTCTGAAATGAAAATGATATGGTAGAAATTGCTAGAAGATTACCCTCCGGTGAACTAACAAAAAACTATGGAAAATCATCATGCTATTCATGGGAAAATCCACTATTTCTATGGCCATTTTCATGGGAAAATCCACTATAAATGGCCATTTTTCCACCATTTTTCATGGGAAAATCCACTTCTTCCCAGGTCCTGGTTCCCCGGTGGCCATGGGTCCATGCCCCCAGGCATGCCGTGCGCTGCTGTCACGGGACGACTTTGTGGAGATGAACGCCAGGATGGGATGGGATGATCGAAAATGGAGAACATCACCATAGATCCAATCCATCTGGTGATGTCAAACATAGCTATTGAAAATGGCCATTGAAATAGTGGATTTTCCCATGAAAAATGGTGGAAAATGGCCATTTATAGTGGATTTTCCCATTAAAAATGGTGATTTTCCATAGTTATGTTAGTTTACCAGAGGGTATCCATCTGGTAAACATACAAAAAACGATGGAAAGATTCACCATTTTGTTAAAGGCTAAATCCACGAAATATCTATGGCATCTATGATATCTATGGGCCATGGCTGAAAAATAGCTGGTTGGTGGTGACTGGAACATGAGTTTTATGACTTTCCATATATTGGGAATTTCATAATCCCAACTGACGAACTCATATTTTTCAGAGGGGATGAAACCACCAACCAGCCATGGTTGAATTCATCATCATTCATCATCTTTCCTGGTCCATCGGCCATATGATATACGAACTATATCTATCTATATCTAGTTCTATTGACGGATAGGAAAGAGAAGAGAAAACAAGTGGTTCAGCATGACTTGGCCGGCCAATTGCTGAAAACAACCGGGATTTAAGCAAGATACTGAAGTGATGACCCTAAACCCGGCGATGTGTTTACACAACAACCAGCGACAATTTAGATTGGACAACCGTGACCTCCCAACCAACACCGGGCCGGCAGGAATGGCATTGGTTCCACTGCGCTGCACATCGCCGCAGCGAATGATGAAGAGGAGATTTGCAAAATGATCTTGAACTGCCCCAGGCCGGGGGTATCCCAGCTGGGCTGGGGCTGGGCTGCTGATGTAGCCTCCGCTGGATCGGGCTGAGGGAAACCAACCACGCCCTGCAGGTATACTGCTGGTGCAAGTGTGGCCAATTCCAATGGGCAGACACCCCTGGACACTGGGCTTGCACACAGCTCCGTTGAACTGTTTTGGAGCATGGAGTGTTGGCATTTGGAAAGGGCTCAGACATGTTCAGAACTACAGTAAATGTGCCAACAATAGGTGGTGAATGTCCACCATTTGACCGACCACGGGGGCCTTCAGAGTTTTCAGGGCCCTGTCCTGGAACCCTGCCAACGTTGTCGTGTTTTATCCCCCCAAAAGGCCCAGGCCAAGCCCATTTCGGGGTTTCACCAGGGCACCGTTCCAGCCAGGACTTTTCTCTCGAGTTTGGGCCTGGGCCTCAGATGGCCTCAGGAGAAAATTGATGATATTGATGGAGGCTGTGAAGAGGTGTATGAATCAAGATCATTTGGAAAGGATTGGAAAAGTCAAGCATTAGTAATTTACTAAGCATTCCTTTTTTTAAGAGGCCCCAACTTTGACTCGTGCCCATGGTGGCTCACAGGACGCAGGATCCGTTCGATTCTGAGGATATAAACAAATTTGATGGCCAGAACCAGCAGAACCAGTTTCAAGACGAGTTTCGAAAAATTGGAACACCCAACTGACATTTTGACTGACATTTGCTCTATGGAACAATATTTCATCAGTTGGGTCAGTTTCTAATTTGTATGCCCTAGATTTTGACCGAATTGATTCAGCAGATCCATCAACAGATGAAGCCATTGCCACCATGATGGGCGATGGATTTCTTCTACTGTCGATGCTCTGGGAACTCGCACCTGAGCTGGAAATGTTGTTCTTTTTTTTTGCTCGAGCCTGTGGGATATCCGATATCCCAAACCTTGGTGTTTGTCAGATCTATCTATCTATCTATATATATATAGATATGTACATATATATATACAATATATATATAAGGGGGACGATGGGAAAAAGGGTTTAGTCAATTGGTGACTGCACATTTTTCCCTCCACGGTCAGCAATGATCAGAGGTTCACAGAGAGCAGTGGTTTTTTTCCACATAGTGACATAGTGGACTAAGGAAGATCTTGACAGTGGTCATCCTCCTGCATCCCAGCTGCACAAAGGTTGGGGCAGAAAAACCATGAAAAACCTACGGCGCTCTGATCCTGGAATTTGTGAACGCTCTTGCTTCACAATTGGGCTTCCAACTTCTAACAAACACAAGCAGTGACATGCAGTAACTATATATGGATATTGCAGATGCTAAGAAACCTACTAAGGAAAAACACAGACGAAACCCACTTGGTGTATCGAAGTGGAAAAAAAAACACTTGGGGGAATTATATCCATGTACCCTCTGGTAAACTAACATAACTATGGAAAATCACCATTTTCAATGGGAAAATCCACTATAAATGGCCATTTTCCACCATTTTTGATGGGAAAATCCACTATAAATGGTCATTTTCTGCAATGATTTTTACATTCTTTCCACCAAGCCCAAGGTTTGGCTCGATCACCGCTGGGACCTCAGGATCTTTCAGATGGATTTTTCCGGCCAAGCCTTGGAAACTGGCTGGAGAATGCTCAATTTCTTAGGGGAAAATCAGAATGTAAATCTAGGAAGGAATGTAAATCCAGAATCATTTATAGCAATAATCAGCGATAATCAGACATCATTAATAATCATAAATGGATCTTAATCAACGGATATCAGCTGGGATTTCGCAATTTCGCCTGGGGATCCTGAGATTCCTTTGTGATCTTTACCCAGATTTAAGGTATGACATCATATATCCCAATAAATCAACAGAAATAAATCCCAATAAATCCCAATAAATCACCATAAATCACCATAAAGCATCCATGACTGCCAGGTGGCCCAGTTCGTTGCTTCGCTGGCGGCTGGATCTGATGCACTCCTGGTGGACTGTGGGTCCATGTCGGCCTGGCGATGTGTTGGTAAAACGAGAATATCATATATGGTTAATGATGATGGTTAATGATGGTTTAATATAATCTAATGAAGTTTAATAGTGAGAATATGGTTAATGTTGGTAAAACAATGCCATAAATAACCATCCCCAATGACTCACCATGTTTATAGGTGGGATTTCAACCATTCCCAGTCATGGCTGATGCCAATGGCATTGTTTTAACCACAAAAAACAGTAAATGGAAAACATCAGATGTGATTACTCAGTGATAATGAATAAGAATGATATATTCGCTTACGCTTCATTGTATTTGACCGTATTTTTTGCCGTGGGCCATTTCACCAATGAGATAGCTAAATGGCACTATTTTCCAGCTGTGAAGCGAGATAGTATATTCCAGCTGAAAAAATGCATAGGAGGGACGCATGAAGGATCATGAAGGGATCACCACCCTGAAAACCAACATGCAAAAATGAAGTTTGGAAGACGATATCCGTTGGGAGATTGCATGTTTTTGTTGGGTTTCGGATGGTTTGGTGTTAGCTTTCAGGGATGTGCCAGGCTGGTTGACACATGCACGTATGCTCTGAACCTTTGTGCGGAGAAGCGGCGGGGGCAGGCGTGGGCATGTGTCAATGCCGTGCATTTGAGATAGTCAACTTTTTACCAGATTGGTGGCTTTAGACGCATTTTTCTGTTTATGGTTTTATAATGCCTATTAGTTCTGAAGATGGACCCGGCTGATTATGCAATACACCAGTGTGTTTTCGAATGTACTTTGGAACTGCCAACATCCAATGACGCAGGTGATGGACCTGTCTGCATCTGGAATCTCTATCCTGGTGTTGTTGATCGTGTCCATCAGTGGCTTAGGGGACTCCATACAGGCGCAGCCTCCATGGGCTCCATGGGTCTGTTTGAAAATTGGGCCCCGAAGTATCGCAGTTTTGGGGTGGAAAATGATGATGAACCATGATGAAGCATCAAGATTTTGGCTAGCCCATTTTCAGAGAAACCCATCTCTGTATGTGGATGGAAAGAAAGATGAAACACAACAATAAACAACTAGTTCCCTCCGAAACTCCGATGACGCCTGATGAAACCTGTTTTTTTTGGTGCACTTCTTCAGGATTTGAGGCACCCGCGTGAGAAAGAACAACTATCACCAGAGATTGTGCTGATCTTTGGCTCCATCGGGGTCTGTTTCGACTTGATCTCCTTCTGGGGACCCTTGGCACAAGCAAAACATCCATGATGGGTCACCCTTTGCTAATGGAAATGGAAGTTGAATGCACACAGCAACAAAAAGTTGGCTTTCGGCAATGTTTTTTGTTGGAGTTTACTGAGGGTATTGTGGCTGCTCAAGAGAAACAATCGATGCATCCCCCTTATTGTTTGCACGTCAAGTGCGACAGAGCAGGGGCTTGCGCAGCCAAATCTCTTGAAAGAATTCACCATTCGGAGATTCAACATGCAACCCAAAGCATGGCGCAGTGACATAGGAAAAACATGCATTTCATCCCATGTTTCTACGGGTTTTCATGAAAAAACACGATTTATGATATGATTTAATATGGTTTGTAATGATTAATCATGATTTTCCGATTAATGCCCCCAACTATGCCTCTCAATCATTACCTCAGCTCTAGAAACCAAGAAAATAATCAAAATAGAACTGAGGTCCTATCTTATTATTCCATGCTAATGTATTCAAAGTTATGCATAGCACGCCTTCCAGGTTTCTACCGCTGGGGGTTGCACAGCATCCTGTCTGGATACGGCGAGGGGTCACCGATGGCATCGCCCATGGCGGTGAATGATGCCATGGTGTCGCGGCTGATCATCGATGGGCTAAACGTATGGTGCTAATCATCTATGTATATGGAGGGTGCGGACAAGATATATATGTATATATAATATTATATATATATGTATATATAATATTATATATATATATATATGTATATATATATGTGTGTATATATATATATGTATATATATATTTATGCATATATATATACATACATATATGCACATATATTTATATACTATATATGTGTGTGGATGATTCATGGTGATTCGATCCACCAAAATGCAGCTTGAAATCAGAATCATGGCTATGAGGCAGTGGCTACCGGTAGTTGCCTTTAGAATGAACAGCTCTCATTCTCAACTTGTTCAACCTGCGAAGAATTCAAACCTGCTCCTGCCAGCTTTGTCGCGTCAGCTTTGCTACCCTCTGGTAATTTAACATAGCTATTGAAAATCACCATTTTTAATGGGAAAAATCCACTATAAATGGCCATTTTCAATAGCTATTTTGACATAACCAGAGGGTACATATTCTAACCATCCAACTGAGTCCCCGAGCTCCAGAATCATTGGCTCGACGTCCATGAACATGCGCTCCGCCTTTATGCATGTTGGTGCTGACCTCCTACGCTCCATGGTGACAGTGCTGGAAGGCGCTGGAGGGTCCTCAAGCCACGGCACGTGCGGTTTCGGTATAGTTGGGTATTGTATGGGTATCACAATGAGTCAAGACGTAAGAATTAGGGGATACTAGGGCCTAGGGGATCGCAGATTTTGGTACATTTTTTATTAGACTTTGGCCGATGATCACATGACTCGCATGCGGTGGTTTTTTTTGGATATCATCGGTTCTAGGATCCAACCCCGCATGTCTCTGGTGATGCCTAATCTTTATTTACAAGTTGTCTCCATAGGGCCACCAAAAATTAAAGTCCGATGAACAAATCCCACTGACCCAGATGTTTTTTTTCCCGTCCAATTTTGCGTCAAAAAACAACATCCCCAGCCTTCGCTGTCAGGTCTTTTGGTCATCTTTGGCCACACCGATGGAAAGTCGACCGATTCCCTGGCCTCTGTAGTGGTTTCCGTCACCATCCTTTGTGGTGTCGCTGCGGGGGTTCTGGCTTGGAGCAGGTTGGAGCAGATTTTTGGTTGACCTGGATTGATGGCTGGGGCATTTGGGGCAATCCCCAGCCATAAAAAAAGTTGGAAGCTTGGGAATTAGGGGGGACACGTAAAACTTTTTCGCTCTTTTGCAGGCTTCAACCTGGGGTCCAGCCATCATGGCTGTGGAGGTTTGATGGGCATATTCCATAGAAATCCTCCCCCAAAAAAGATAGAAAAGTAAAGTTTGAGTGAAATAGTGATAGATTTAACAATTTTTAAACATTCTATGTTTATCTATTTTTATGTTGAAAGGTTCATATACATGGAACCCATGCTTCAACGAAGTGAAATCGTACCTTAGGCACACTGCAATGCCAGTCAGCAATGCTGTGCCGTGGCTCTGGGAGGCAAGCGTGCTTGTTCTTCTCGCGCCGATCTACGGAGGAATTGTTGCCAGATACGCCGCTGGTGGAGTTCAGCCGTAGCTTGTGACCTGGCGATGGTCGATCTGGGTTGGGTCATGGGGAAGACTTGGCAATTTTGGGAGTGGAACATGATGATCAGGTGCCCTCTTTTGTTTGGGAAGCCCGTGTGTCCTTCCACGACCTGATTGGTTGATGAAGGCGGTGTAAAGCACGGCGAGCCTTGAGGCCAGACGGGCTGCCAGAGTGCCTGTGAGGCTGAGAAAATCTGAGCCGTTGGTAATTCCTAAAGGCTTAAGGTCTTTGGTTGAGTGCTTTGCACTTGGGGTTTGGTGATGTTTGGTGCCCAAATGTGCCCAATCTCTTAGGAAATGGGATGAAATGGGTAGGCAATTCATTGCCGCTTCTTTGCTTGATTCTATGTTTCGCTCAGCTGCCACTGTCAGCACAAAGCTGTTAGCGCGATGTGGTGGCGCATGGTCCAAAAAGACGGTTGTGCTTCCTGACCAATTGGAGTCGAGCAATCTGAATGTTAGAACTTGAATCCGCCAGATGCCGGAAGACACTGTCTATTTGGGTCATTCTGCGCACGTGTGTGGTGTCATGATGTGTCATGTATATGCCCTATCTGAAAGAACCAAAGAAGTAGAAAATGACACCCTGGTGGTGGCAATGAGACACAACATTTCATCAATCCCATTGCTTGATGATCTTTATCGTCAGCCATGAGAATTTGCAATCTCGCGAGGTATGTTAGGTATGTTTATTAGCTGGTAAGTCGCATTTTCAAACACATCTCTGGGTTGAATTTGGTCGAATCCTCATTTTGCAAATTATGCATAGGTATATATAATTAATAAACTTGACCTTTTCTTACGTGTGGTCTGCCCATATTTTTGTATTGAAACGGCAGCTGAACCTTTTTCCTCATTTCTGAGGACAGGGCTGTGCTCAACTGTCTTGGAAGCGGCGGGAGGGCAGCAAGGGACTCGAAGGAGAAGGGGTCGGCACATCTATGGCAGGACTGGGTGGGACTTGGGATACTTGGGATTGTGGAGCCTGCTCATTTCATAGCAGTGGAATCCATTTGAATCTATTTGAATTTGAACATCACCAAAAAACTGCGCTTGAACCCCCAATCAGACCGCGGATAGCCTGGAGCCCCAAAATTGTGACGGGAACCCGGTTGGATAAGCCAACAACAACTGGCAATTAAAGTCTCCGAACCTGTCAGCCGACGAGGTTCTGAGCTTCGGTGAGGGCTTTTGGTGATGGAGCTACTGTGGAAATCAAACCTGGCAAGGGAAAATCCCAAGGTTTTTTTGGGGGAAGCTCCTCAGAGCTGCTCCTCTACAACTTGTGGAATTCCCGGAAATCTGGGGTCAGATTGCAGAGGGTAGACATTCCAACAGCTGTTTGAACATGTTGAAGCTGGGCCGCCCCCATTTGCTGCCTCCTTTTGAGCCAAACATCAGGTTCTTGCTGTGACTGTGGAAGCCCACGGTTTAAGAATCATATGATGGTGAGAGAGAACAATAGTGTCCAATGGCGAAACAGAAATGTCAGAGCAGCTTTCCACAAAGATATTGGTCTTATACCCATTGGACTCCTATTGCTGGCGTGATCTCGTTGGAGTGCCACGGACAGGACCATGGTGCCAGATGATGATGACACGGTGCTAAGCCTTGGTTCGGGCTTGCCAAATTGCAGAGTTTTTTTTTTGTGCAGGAAAAACTTGGACGTTTTTGGCCGTTGGTCATCCTTTTTCTGACGCTTAACCCACCCTCTATGACCAGCCATTGAAGGGGTTGCCATCTCAATCCAGGTGCAGGATATGGATGAGCTGGATTGAAAACAAATTGAAGGCCAAGAAGTGCCGGCACAAGCTGTGAAACGAGCAGCCCCTTTTTCTCACTGCAGGATGCAGATCCATTTGGCCCAACAGATCCAGATCATTCCAGATGGCTCTTCCATGATTCGTTACTAATCTTTGTTTTTGGGGTATTTGTTTGGATGACTTGGGGGGGCCAAGAAGTGCCGCATCCGGCGTCTTCGAAGTCAGCCCAGCTGGTCCTGAGCTTAGGCTTCTAAGAAACAGCAGCATCGCAGGGAGAGCAGATCCATGGACTCTTGATGCGCGCGCGCACACAGACAAATATCTGGTATTGTATAGTTATATATATATATATACATATGTGTATTCAATTATCCATTTAATATCGGTCTATAGATCATAGCTCATAGTTATACATCCATTTATATATAGTGAATTAAAGTGATATATAGCTATAATGTTGACACCGGATTAATAAACCCCCCCCCCTATAGGTCAACTAGGTCAACAAGGTCCAGTGAGGGGGTCCAAAAACCGAACCCCCCAAATAATGTCACCATTCATTCATCCATAAAACGATTGTTATAAGATTCCTATGGGAAAAGATTGGAAAACCTCTGATAAACCATCAGATTCCTATGAGAAAAGATGAGAAAACCTCTGATAAACCATCAGATTCCTATGAGAAAAGATGAGAAAATCTATGATAAACCATCAGATTCCTATGAGAAAAGATGAGAAAACCTATGATAAACCATCAGATTCCTATGAGAAAAGATGAGAAAATCTATGATAAATCATCAGTTTTCTCATCTTTTCTCATAGAAATCTGATGGTATCTTATAAGTTTTCTCATGTAATTCCATTGTAAATACATAAATTTATCCATGTAATTCCATTGTAAATACATAAATTTTCTCTTATATTATATATATATTTATCCATGTAATTCCATTTGTAAATACAAGTATATGCATACATATATACGTTCATATATGAATGTGTGCATACAAACATATGCATATATACATTCACACATGAATGTACATATAATCATAATGTGTATATATACGTGTATGTATATATATATATACATACAGAAGCAGGTGCATATGTTACAAAGGGTGATTTAAACACAAGTCCAGGTTACATATATATATATATACACAAAACACATCGACCGACAGACTGGCTCACCATGGCTCACCGACTGACCAGACAATGCGCAGATAGACATGCATACAAATCAATCAATAGAGCAACAAATGAGCGTAAGCACAGACACACAAACATACACACTTACATCCATGCATACATCCATCCAATACATACAGGCAAAAATACAATTTCTTTTGGCTCTTACTTATGTAGGTAAAAACTCACCAATCTTTGCAAATATATATATATATATGTAAGTACGTGACCATTGCGAATGCAGATTTACATGCACCCATTGACCCATAGGAAAGCACATTCACAATTTTTTGTCGGTTAGATATATGTTAGTAGGTATGCACACACACAAGTTTGCACACGCAGCATATATATATATACATACATACATACATACATACATACATACATACATACATATATCTATATACACACATACACACACACACATATATATATATATATATCTGTGTGTATTGATTTTTGCAAACCTGACATGTATTGTATACAATGCAGCCATAGTTCAGTCCCACCTGCTGCCTTGGTGCGAATTCGGCTGGCCGCCCTGCGGCTGCCGGTGCGCTTTGACACAACTTGCGCGGAAAGCTGCGAGGTCATGAGGGAATGATGCCTCGTAACTAGAGACTATCCCATTTTAGTAACTATGCTTAATAATTTAGTAACTATTAGATATCATAAATTTTATGATATTTAATAGTTACTAAGTTACTAAGCATCAGACATTTTATGATATTTTATGGTATTTAATGATATTTTATGATATTCACGTCGCTTCGCGACGGCAACCGCCCGCACCGCATCGTTGGGCAGCCGCTCGTAACTGCCAATGATGTCGGCCATTGAGACCAAAAACATCCGAAAGTACTGATTGTCGGAAAAAAACACGCGAAGAATTTGATAGCCATGTATAGCGGACCAACGCAGTTCAAAAAATAACGAAAAACATGAAAAAACGGCGAAATTGCTGTTATTTACAGTGTTTTTGCGCGGTGAGAAGCAGAAACCACTGCAAATACCATGGTTTTTGAGGGTCAGGTGGCCAAAAACACTGTAATTTACAGTGTTTTTTTAACCAACGTCAAAAAACACTGGTATTTACGATGTTTTCATTCACACCGTAACATAAAACAGCGTAATTTACGAGGTTTTTGGAAGTTTTGAAGCTAGCCGTCAAGCATGCAGAAAACAGAAAAACACTGTAAAAACCAGTGTTTCTGCTATCACAAAACGACGAAAATCAGTCCGAAAACGGGTCCAAAAACTCAAAAATCCGCCTCCGGGCCCGGCCACCTGCGGAACCGCAAAAAAAGATGTTGCAAACCAAAAAATTGAGGTCAAAAAGTTGAAAAACACGGGGTTTTTTCACTTTTCGCTTGCCGATTTTGGACGGGCGCGTTCACGAACAGGTGTCTTCCGTACTGTTTTTTACAGTGTTTTTTGAAGGCGAGCGTCACGACCTATCAAAAACAGGAGGTTTTGGCCGAAAAATGGGACCCCCCCCCCCAGGTAAACCTGTAACCTTTTACGAGTGCCATCCGGAAGATCACGCCCCAGCACCTTCGGTGCGGGCGGATTTTATGGCCTTACTTGTCAGTTTGAAGCTGTTTTTGTTCGCCCTGTTATCCGGTCATATGCCCGACCTGTGACCTGGAACCATCATCTTAGTAGCCATCCAGCTTGATTTTCTGCTTGAGAATTCAATTTAAACCAGGCTGGTTGGTGGTTTGGTGGTTGGATAATAGGTATTAATAGGGGATAAACCCATTGGATAATATACTGGTTGGTGGTTTGCAACATGAATTTTATTTTCCATATATTTGGAATAATAACACCAAATGGCTTTCATATTTTTCAGAGGGGTAGGTAGACCACCAACCAGCAGGGATTAAGAGTTCATTTCGAGATGATTATTTCAGTTCTTGCGTAATACTGGCCAAACATTTTCTGAGTTTTGGTTTGGGGATGATGATTATTCATCCTATAGTACGTGATGATAATGACCTTTTGACCTTTTTTGGGGTGGATGATTGCCTTAGTGAAGGGAGGGACAGGGAGGGTGGCTGATCCGGGGCTTACGTTTGTCCTTTCATGTGCACTTCTCGCAGCCATGCTGAACTTAGTGAGGTGAATCATAGCAAAGTGTAACTCCAGCTGGAGGAATCTGGAGGATGAACCCAGAGTCTCCAGACATGTTTTTCCTGAGCCTGGGTTGTCAGGGGGTGTTTCAC